AAACAAAAATAAATCCAATGGAACTCATGTGTCTTCACAGACAAAAAGGGATCTGCTGGTCTTGATGGTTCAGTTCAAAGTTCCTTCCATTGGCAATGGTTACTATGCTGAGGAGTTACTTATCTTAGTTCAGTGGAAGAGCTGGGTTTTGAAAACTAAATCATTTTAACCTTAATACATATTACTCAATCCTTGAAGGAAGAATCGGGGCTGGTAGTGTAGTGAAAGTAATGATGACTAAGTCGTGGCTTTATCTCTAATGTGCTTCATCTATTGTAACTGGATAGCAGATTACCCCATAAATGTAAAAAAGAATAGACAGAAGACTGGTGTTATTAGCCTCGTAAGTACAGACTGACTGTAGCAATCCAACCAGGCATATTTATGTCTATGCTTGACAGCAATGAATGAGCTGGTTCTCTCGTCCAGTCCCTACTCAAAAGGAACCCTGTCAGGTTATTTTGGAGATCAAATGAGGTAACAAATGTGAAAGTGCTTTGTCAACTGTAAAGCATTATTCCTCTTTTGCAGACCACCTAGGGTGCAGTGTGAATGTCAGAGGCAGTACAGGATGAAAGCCCACCCACATTCTTGTCAGCACTTGGCATTGCTAGTCTTTTTATTTTAGCCATTCCAGTGGAGATGCAGCAAATCTCATTGAGGTTTTAATGTGCATTTTCTTGGTGATTCAGCATTTTCCCATGTATTTATTGCTCATTCCTGTATCTTTTTTTGTGAAATGTCTGTTTGATTCTTTTGCCCACTTAAAAAAATTGGGTTGTCTTCTACTGAGTTGCAATCATTTTTTAAATATATTCTAGAAATAAATTCTTTGTCAGACATATGTGCTTTGAATATTTTCTCACATTTTATTAGTTGCCATTTCGTTTTCTTATGGGGTTCTTTTGAAGAGCAAATGTTTGGATTTTGATAAATCTACTTTATCATACAAGGAACAGAGTGACAGATATCTGTCAGAGGGGATGGGGGCAGAAGGGACTGGATGAAAGAAGGTGAAGGAATTAGTTAGAGAACATATATGCATAAGCCATATACATAGACAACAGTGAGGTGATAGCCAGAAGGAAGGGGGAACAAGGGCTGGGTGGAGGTGGGCAAAGAGGGGAAAATGGGGACATGTAATAGTGTCAACAATAAAAATAAAGTAAAAAACTTTATCTCCCTGACCGGTGTGGCTCAGTGGTAGAGCACTGGCCTGCACACCACGGGGTCTCAGGTTTGATTCCTCGTCAAGGGTACATACCTGGGTTGCAGGTTTGTTTCTGGCCCTGGTTCCCTGGCCCAGGTCAGGGTGTGTGCAGGAGGCGACCAATACATGTCTGTCTCTCACACACACATCCTCCCTCCCTTCCACTCTCTAAAAATCAAATGGAGGAAAACTATCCTCGGGTGAGGATTAAAAACAATAACAACCTCCCCCCAAAACGACTTCATCAAATTTCTCTTTTATGATTCCTGCTTTTTGTATCCTATATAAAATTCTTTGCTTACCCCAGCAAAGATCACAGAGATGTTTCTTCTAGAAGTTTCATAGTATTAGACTTCACTTTTAGGTCTCTGATACATTTGAGTTAACTTCTGTGTAGTGTGATATGAAGTAAGGGTTCTTTTAATTTTTTTGGTAAAAATATATTTTTATTGATTTCAGAGAGGATGGGAAAGGGAGAGAGAGATAGACAGATCAATGATGAAAGAGAATCATCGATTGGTTGCCCCTACATGTTTCCTACTGGGGATCGAGCCTGCAACCCCTGGCGGGGAATTGAACTGTGATCTCCTGGGTCATAGGTCGACACAACCACTGAGCAACACTGGCTGGGCGAGACATGTTACATTTTGATGATTCTCTGTATGCTGAGAAATTTTGGACTAAATCCTGAATGTTGCGATCTTATGTTGCCTAGACTCGTATGTTGCCTAGGGTTCTGGTATAATCCTCTGGAGAATGTTGATGATATTGTTTTTGCAGGCAATGAACTTGGTTAGGTTCAGACTACAAATTTTGACTCTTCTGTGTGGTAGTGCAAATCTCAGATTTGTGTACAAAGCCTCTGCTATGTTGGTTTGGGAATGTCCCACACTTAGAACTGGAACTCCTGAGTTCTTTTTCAGAGATTCTCTCTCTCTCCTAAATTTAACAGTCTCTTCACTCATTATTAGTCCCCCTCCATATATTAAAGCAATAAATATCATCATTGAAAGTCTTTGTATTCTAGCTCCAAAATTTGGGTTTACTTTGGTTTGTTTCTATGAACTGAGTTCTCTCAACTATGGGTCAACTTTTACAGTTTCTTCATGTGTCTAACAATTTCTCATGGTATACTACATATTTTGGGTGATAGGAATTTTCTTCATAGGAAAAGCCATGGAAGTTGGACCCACTCAGTGTGAGTCCCTTCTTTCAAGAGTCAAATCTTTTCCAGTCTTTGCCTGCTTTTTGATTGCTCTTAAGTGCCTTTAAACAGTTTTTGTGTGTTTTGTCCAGAGTTTATAATTGTTACAGTATGTTTAGTATCATGAAAGCTACTCCACTACTACCAGAAACTATATAGTCTTTCTAGACCGAAGAACGCTTCCTTTCCACCCCCCATTGGAATTCTGCAAAAAAAATGTCTGAACTAATTTTTTCCAAAAATATCCCTGAGGTTCTGCTCATCACCCTCTTGCTCCAACATCCACACAAGTGAAAACAAAGACACAGAGAACAGCACAGTGGTCAGGGCCCCACAGCAAAGGCGCTTCCCCAGCTGCAGATACGTTCTATCACCTTTACTGTGTTTGCTCTACAACACGGGTCTGTCCAAATACTAACTATGTGCCTACTGGTGTCCTGGATCTTCGAAGAACAGTAACATATTAGTATCCATAATATGAGGCAGAGAGTTCCAAGTGCTGTGAGGGAGATCATCAAAACTTGCTACGGTAATTCAGAGGAGAGATGAATTTCCAGAGGTTTTGCAGGGAGTGGGCCCCAAGTGCTAATTCAAGCAGAGACATATATGTGTTTGTTCTCTTGCTGTAGCAATATCATGGGACTGGAGGTCGTGGTAGCTTCTAATATTGTATAAGGTCAAAGCAGGGGTGGAGAACCATTTTTTCTGCCAAGGACCATTTGGGTAATTCTAACATCATTCCCGGGCCATACAAAATTATCAACTCAAAAATTAGCCCGTTATATCTGGTCAAACATTTAATTAACTGACCCCTAATGCCTTGGCAAGACCAGACCAAATGATTTCTCAGACCTCTTACGGCCCACGGGCCGGATGTTCGCTACCCATGACTTAAAGTGTGAACTGCAGACAATCTAAATGGCATCATACGAAGTTTAACAGAAAGGCAGGATTTCAGGACCCACCACAGGCCTCCTCAGTCAGAACCAGCATTTCTACAAGATCCCTGAGTATTTCACATGCGCATTAAAGTCCGAGAGGCATTAAAATAAAGCACTTTGTCCTTCATTGGAACTATGGCTGTAAGAACTTCTGCACATCCTCTACTCTTGGGAAATCAGCCATGTAGTAGGAGGGGATGAGGCACAGGAGAACAACAGGTGACATGGACTGAGCATCCACTACTGTTTTGTCATTTTATGCTCATCAGGGAGCCTTTGCATTGGTTATTTCCATTCAGCAGACAAGGAAATTGAAGGTCAAGAAGGTTAACCAAGTGGCTCAAGATCACAAGGACAGTGGCAGAGCCTAAATTTGAAGCCATATCTGTAATCTGCTTTTCATCGCAGCCACTGCCCGCACCTGAGCTGTGGTTCAAGAGCAATCAACAGCTGTTGTGGTTCTGCCATGAATGAATTCAGTGACCCTGGTTAATTCATTCTACCTTTTTAGAACACAGCTCTTCAGGTCTAAGTTGATGGAGGCTCAACTCATGAAAGGTCACAAACAAATGAATCAAATGGGTATTTGAGGCATCGCTACGTTTGAGTTTTGGGAGCTTCTGCCGGGTGATGGCAAATGACTCAGAAAACCAGAACCAAGGTAGTACAGAATGGAGAAAATATTACAGGGCCAAACATGAGAAGACCTGGGTTCTAGTCCCACTTCTGTCATTTACTAGTCGTAAGCATCCTCCATGTCTTCATCTATGAAAGGGAGATAAATGATCATACTGGCTCTCTCTCAGTGTGTTCGACTGGATCGAGTGAGGTTATGCATGAAAATCTTCTGTGAAGTGAAATATTAAAACACCCAGTCTTTTAATTGCCTTAATTTTCATAACACAAATTAGATAGCTATAAATAAATTAATTAAGGAACATGATTTATAATCTTCTGGCCATGGTAGTGATTGGCAAATAGCTCTGACTAAACTCTGTGCTTTTGTTTATCCTGACAGTAGACATAAAAGGTAATAAACATATGTAAGCACAGGCTCTGCACCTGTGAGAGAGCTGGTGGTGGCAGAAAAACAAAACTATTATTCTAGATCAGGGAGTCCTTGCTGTAGAATTGGCTGTGATGATGAAGTTTCATATCCATATTACCCGGTATGGTAGCCACTAGCCACATGGGGCTACTGAGCACTTGAAATGTTGCTAGTGCAACTGAGGAACTGAATTTAAAATTTTATTGTTTAAATTAAAATTCAAACTTAATTAGCCACAGGTGGACAGTGGGACCGTATATAACAGTGAGATGTGCATTTGTTCAATAATGTGAAGGCTTTGTGGACAACAAGTAAACTAACTTGTCTTTTTCAATTCTGAAACACTAGCCCTAAAAGACTTTTCCCCCCCAAATTAAATAAAAAGTTTTTATAGCATGATTTTTAACAATGGGAGGTGTCCCTGGAATCCAATTATCACTGTATAGCAACAGAGACGATAAAAATAAAATGTGACCGTTGCCTAAGTGAAAAAGTACCTATTTTATCACCTGAAAAGATAAAATACTGTACCCCCTTGTGTTTAACATGGAAGCACGGAGACAGAAAAGGGCTGGGCCCAGTGGCCGCATCTCCTACCTGGTGTTCTCCACTCTCCGGCTTAGGCACTGGTGCAGGTAGAGATACTCTTGGGGTGCACTGGTGGACAAGGTGGGCTGCATGTGGTTGGACATGGGGGGCTCGAAGGTGAACAAGGTCGGCTGGCTGGAGTGGGACGGGGCTGAGGACTTTCGTTCTCGGAGAAGGTGCTGATTGGAGCTGCTGAGCTCGGCTGGAGAGGAGCGGGCGCCGTGACTGGCTGAGGAAATGTTTCTCAGCGAATCTGTGAAAAGGAGAAAGGACGCTGTGAATGAAAAGGAAAGAAAGGTGTCCTTATTCCAGAGTGAGTGGGTTGTCAGAGCAAGAACTATCCAGTGTAGAGGGATGGTCCAGCCGCAGTGCTGTCTCCCTCCCAGAGAGGAAGCTGGGCGCTGGCCACATGGCGGAGAAGGAGATGCCCTGACCTGCCTCACTTCCAGGAGGCGTAGCTCCCGTGGCCCAGGGGCGCGACTCTAGTGCAAGGCCAGCACCTGGGCAGGAGGTACCACTGCCTTCTTTCTCTTTGGTGGCTCTGCTGTCACCACCCCCTCAGAGCTAAGGCTGCTTTGTGAAATGAAGACTCATCCACTGAGACCCTGGGCTGAGTGAACCTTACTGTATCAATGGTAAAGGCACACGGGTATTTGGAGCTGTCCCTCCACATGGGCCCCGGTGCCTCCTGCCTGCCTTCCAAGTCCTCTGAGGAGGGCAATGTCCCCCGTGGCCACCTCTTGCACCTACCACTCTGTCCATTGGTCTTTTTTCTCTTAACTCTTGAACTCTCACCTGTGGTGCTAGGAAGGAAGCGAGGTATTAAAGACAGTTACTAGCTTAGAGCTACACCCCAAGCCAAGGGCATGATTTATTTGGCTGGCTCTGTAAGCTTGGTTCAGATTCTTAGCATAACATACAAGGCTGTTCACAGTATGATCTATTTCCTGCTTTTCTCCTCCCCTATGCAAGGCAGGTGGAAGCTTCATCGGCCCCTGAACACCCCAGCCCCTTTCATGCTTCTCTGTTTCCGTTGATGCGTCCCTTCCACCTGGATCTCAGTCCCACTCTCTGGCACTCACAAGCCGACACCAGACCCGGCATGGATATCACATTCTCTCTGAAACCTTCCTGGACTTGGCCATTGTTCTGGGAACCAAGAGCACTTGGCCCTCGCCTCTTATGTCCACTGTCACCGTGCTTCCGTGCCTAGCCCACGGGTTTCTAAGAACAGTGACTGATGTCTTTACAGTCTCCGCATTTACCTAATAAAGGCAGGCACATAGAAAGTTCCACCTGTGTTTGCAGAAAAGGCAAACATATTCACTCAGCATATAATAGTTCCCTAACAGTGGAATGCCTTGTGCAAAAGAAATAAAGGTTTAAAGATGTAATTTCTGGCAATGTGAAGACTAGTAGGGGACAGTAGTTTAGTGGTGGTGATAGTGGCTTTCTAGAGTCCATCCAAATCACTTCAGAGGGGACATAGTTCTGCTTCCACTCCGTTATCTGACCTAAGTCAGTCGGCGCTCTCTGCAAGGCCCTAGGCAGGCTCACCAGCTCATACAGCTCTGCAGCTAAAACCCTCCAATAGTCCCTGACACTGGGCAGGACAGCCTCTGCCCGTGCACAGCAGAAAAAGCCATGGGCCCTGGGGAGAAACAGTTCCAGCGACAGCTGAACTGACCTTTAAAGTGAAATCCCACTACAGGCCTCGTAGTGAACTGGACATGTGTTCACAGACTCACTGGCTTCAGTACTCCATTCCATTTGCAGGATGAACTCTTTAATGGCAGAGGAGAGAGGGCTCAGGCAAGAGGACCAGAAGCCATGGCACCAGGATGAACACAAGCGGCTGCTTGACAGGACACAGGGAAGGTAAAGAGACCTCTGTTGCAATCCTACAGTTGCTGTGGTCTTTTTGGGTTCCTCCTCCCACTATCCCCCTCTTCAATGAAACTCCTCTCCTTCAGGATTCTTCCAGACCCTGCCATAGCTTCACTCTCATTCAGGAGAACCTTTGGGGTATCCTGTCCCTCCTCGCAGCTTCAGTTACCACCTATGTGACGAAAATCCTGCAGTCCTGATCCCTAGCCCAGATCTCTCTCCTGTCACATGTCCCTCTCGCTGTTATGCACCTCCACGCAGATGTCCCACAAGCGGTCAAGCTCAAAAACCTAAACTGAACTCCCAACCTCGCCCGTGTTCTCCCTCTCAGTGAAGTACATCAACGTCACCACCCAATCAGTTCTCCCAGCCAGAAACCTAGCCCTGACCTGTGAGTCCTCCCTGTTCCTCAACACGGCATCATCTCAGTTTCTGCCCCTAAAACCCTTCAGGGGACCCCTGTTATCCTCAAGATGACTTCCAAAGCTCGCTCTCTTTTCTTCTTGGAGTGATGACTATTTTCTAAAATTTGATGTGTTTATCTCTTCAATCGAACTGGTTTCCTGTTTACCTCTTCAACCTTGTTTCTCACCAGTGCTTCCTTGTATTTTAAAGAGAATTTCAGGAAAACAGCAACCCTCTGTCATCACTCTGTAGATTAGGCTGTAAGCCCAGGAAGGGCCGAGAGTCTATGCTTTTACCACACCTCATCTCCAGCACCCACTACTCCATAATGTGTGTGGATGAACAAAACAAAGTACATGGGATAGCAGGTCATACTCCCTCAGTCACACTCATTGACTCCTCACTGTCCAGGTTCCCCAGCAGGACAAGCAAGGCCATTTTGTCACAACCTACTTATCCTGCCTTGTTACCCCCACACATCCTTCACTGAATGCATGACTGTGGGTCTGTGTAAGGGAGGAGTGACTTGTCCTCCCCTCCGGGGCCCTCTGCCTCCAGCTCAGGCTGCAGAAGCAAATCTGTGACCGTCTGTTTACGTGCAGACCCAGAGAAGTCCCTTCAGCTCTCTGACTCTTGGTTTCCTTATTCACATGGACATAGGGTGTTTATAAGGATGAAATGAATTCAGGGTCTAGACTATTCTGCATGTTGTAAGTACTCAAAACATGTTCTAGTCACTTCTGTATCCCTGGTGCCTAGGAGGTGTGTGTGTGTGTGTGTGTGTGTGTGTGTGTGTATAACCCAGCACATAGTGAGTCTTCAAAATATATATATCTGTTGATTAAATAAAAGAATTTTCTCTGGCACAAAAATCCAAGTATGCTTGTTTCTTGTGGTCAAGATCAGAGAAGAATTTTAAGTCTGTTAATAAGTTGAAGCGGAGCTGGGCCCACAGGCACCTGGAATTCCATCCTACCAGCGTGAAGCCGTGTCTCTGAAACCATGGATTCCGTAAGGGTTTGAAGCCCCATCAAAGTTCCTTCTAAGCTGTTTTGGGGCTCTCTTTGCCAAAATTCCACTTCTGGTTGCAACTTTAGAAGATCTCTACCTGAATTCATGTGATTATTCCTTGGTGCCTGTACTGGAATAACCAGTGTCTCCCCCCCCCCCCCCCCCCAAGCTCCTGTCTACCTGGAATCTTAGAACGTGACCTCATTTGAAAATAGGGTCTTCAAGATGTAATTGGTTAAGATGAGGTCATACTGGATTAGGGTGAGCCCTGACCCAATGTCTGGTGTCCTTGCAGGAAGAGAAAACAAAGATACAGGTACACACAGGGTGGATGCCATGTAATGACGGAGGCAGAGACTGGACAAAAAAAAATGCAACATGTCCACACAACGGAATATGGTTCAGCCACAGAAATGAATGGAATACTGCTACCTGCTGCAACATGGATGGATCTTGGAAACATGATGCTAAGTCAAAGAAGCCAGTGATGAGACTACAGTTGTGGGATTTCATTTACGTGAAATGTCTTAAATTGGCAAATCTATAAAGATAGAAAGTAGGCTGTTGATTGCCTGAGGGTGGGAATGGATAGTGATTGCTATGAGTACAGTAGGTCCTTGGGTTAAGTCAGAGCTCTGTTCCTACAGCGCAACATAACATGATTTTCGCTGTAAGTTGGAACCCACCTACATAAGCATCTATGTCACTCACATGGAGCACATAAAAGCCATAATGAAGTGAAACAGTAAAAAAAATTTAAAAGAAAGATAACAATTCCTGACCTTTACTTGTGGTAAATCCTATCTAATAAAAGAGAAACATGGTGCCAAAACCGGTTTGGCTCAGTGGATAGAGCGTCAGCCTGCGGACTGAAGGGTCCCAGGTTTGATTCCGGTCAAGGGCATGTACCTGGGTTGTGGGCACATCCCCAGTGGAGGATGTGCAGGAGGCGGCTGATCGATGTTTCTCTCTCATCGATGTTTCTGACTATCTCTCTCCCTTCCTCTCTGTAAAAAATCAATAAAATATATTTAAAAAAAAAAAAAAAAAAAAAAAAAGAGAAACATGGTAATTGGCGTACGACCGCTACCCTTCCCATTGGCTAATCAGCGAGATATGCAAATTAACTGCCAGGCAAGATGGCGGCCGGCAGCCAGGCAGCTTGAAACTAACATGAGGCTTGCTTGCTTCAGTGACGGAGGACTCCAACGTTCCCCGCCTGTCGCTGCAGGCCTCTGAGCCTGCAGTTTAAAAAACATTGTAACGAATATACAAGGTAAACAAAACCCCAGAAACCTGCTTTCAGCGAGCTGGGATCTCAGACCTGGAGTTGATACAGAGTTTCGATTATAGAACCAAAACAAACCAGAAACCTGCTTTCAGGAGCGGAGGCCTAAGAGCTGGAGCCTCAGAGCTAAAGCTGGCCCAGAATTAAAAAAGAAAAAGAAAAAAAGGAGCGGTTGGGAGCTTCAGTCACCTGCCAGCCTGAAAACAGCCCTCAGCCCCTCACCCAGACTGGCCAGGCACCCCAGTGGGGACCCCCACCCTGAAGGGTGTGTGACCAGCTGCAAACAGCTTTCAGCCCCTCACCCAGGCTGGTGAGGCATCCCAGTGGGGACCCCCACCCTGATCCGGGACACCCTTCAGGGCAAACCAGCCGGCCCCCACATGTGCACCAGGCCTCTATCCTATATAGTAAAAGGGTAATAAGCCTCCCAGCACCGGGATCAGCGGAGCTGCGAGGCCTCCCGGCACCGGGATCAGCGTGACAGGGGGCAGCACCCAAACCCCCTGATTGCCCTGCGGCTCTGTGTGTGACAGGGGGTGGGACCACAACCTCCCTATCGGCCCTGCTCTGTTCGTGACAGGGGAAGGCGCCCCAACCTCCTGATCTGCCCTGCTCTGTGCCTGATACAGGGGAGCTCCCCAACCCCCTGATTGGCCCTGCTCTGTGTGTGACAGGGTGCGGCG